ATAATGCAATACCCACCCAACAACATTTTAGACGCATTAGAAACATGAGCACTCTCGATTACGAGTGAAATAATAGCTAGCTTTCGTGCAAGGAGTGTGAGAATGTTGCAACAAAGATTTAATTTTAGATTTAGTTAAGGAAGGATGAATGTTACACTCGATCAAGATCCATTTTATTCCGTAATCCCCCGCGCGTAATAAGGATTCTTCTCGAAGAAAAACAGGATTAGAGGTTAGAAAGATACTATTCCAAACTATTCCTTTGCCAAAGCAAGATCCCAACATTGTACTTGCTCAGTGTCCACACATAAGGAAATTCTCAGATAGTATTAGCCCATCGGGTCTCATGACATCCTCTAGGCAGTGATCCTCGAGACGTAGACTGAAAAGTGAAATGAAGTGAAATGTTTGAGGTATATATTTATTTCTTACACGTAATCTTGTGCCGCGTCCTTAGGTGGCATTGACCTGTAGTTCAAAGATATAAAATTCGGAGGCAAGTCCCATGTGATAATTATACATGAGTTTGAAAGAGAGACATTACGGGAAACATTTCTCCTCAGAATCTTCCTATTCCGAGAAGGTGAGGCCCATTAATGGCCTTCGTTTTATCCTGATATGAGGATCCGAGCTTATAAAATTGCTCAATATAGATAGGGGAAGATTGCGCTGTAGAGAAGGTATGATTTGGGTAGGCTTAATGATTTTATTTGAAAGTAACCCCTAATACATGGGTCTTATGGCCTCTTATTAGAGATGGCTTACCCAGAAATTTTGGTTGGATGGGTATTAATAGCTTCCTTTAGAAGTTGGCTGAAGATTTTTGGTTTGGATAGGTCTTAAATGGTATTCTTTAGAAGTTGTCAAACGCGAGTCTTACGACCTAGCACTGGTAAGATAGTTGGCCAAGTTAGTGGATCTTACATCCTATTAGCCTTATAGACTAGGATGCCCGAGTGAGGGGTCTAACATTATATTTCACCTAAATTTTTATAAAAAGTTCGGACTCGACTTTTATTAGAAGTGGCGGGGTGGTGATCTTACAACCTGTTCTATAAATAAGGCTACAATAGGTTGGATTTTATATATAGATCATTCAAACTTAAAGTTCCCTATACGTGGGGTCTTACAGCTCCCTTTAGAGTACCTCCACCAAATGGCATGTCTTACAAACTTAGTCTTATAGGCTAAGATGCCAAAAAGGATTTAAGTTTTTGGGGTTCTAGGTCGTTCAATTTAGAAGTTCTCTACATGCAGGCCTTACTGCTTTCGCTTAAAGAAGCCCAAATGGCGAGTCTTATAAACTTAGTCTTATAGGCTACGATGCCCAATAGGGATTTAAGTTTTGGTTATAGGTGAATTCATAGAAGTTCCTTTAACACGTTGGGTCTTACCTTCTTGGCTTAGAAGTAGCTTCAAATGGGGGTCCAATACAACTTTAGTCCTTAGGCTAAGATGCTCAAATTGATTTGAGTTTTGGTTATAGGGTTGTTCGTTTAGTAGATTTCCCTAACACGTGGGTCTTTACTGCTTCGTTTAGAAGTAGCATAAATGGCGGTCTTACACTTAGTAACTAAATAGACTGAGATGCCTTAAAGGTATTGATTTTCACCGTTATACGGGTCCTTCGTTTAGAAGTTTCCTAATCACGTGGTTCTTACTTTCTCTCTGCTTAGAAGTATCCGCAATGACAGGTCTTACAACTTGTCCATATAGGTTAAGATGCCCAAAGGGATTTGAGTTTCGGTTATAGGGTCGTTCGTTAGAAGTTTTTCTAACACGCGGGTCTTACTCTTCGCCTAAGAAGATCTCAATGGCAGGTCTTATAACTTAAGTCTTATAGGCTAAGAATGGCCCAAGGGATTTGAGTCTATTGGTATAAGTAAACGCAGTCATTTCTTAGAAGTTCCATAAACACACGGGTTTACAGCTTCGCGAAAAGTAAGCCCAAATGACGAGTCTTATAAGTCTACCTAATTAGTTCTTATAAGCTAATGCCCAAATGGATCTAGAGTTAAGGTTGCTTCCTAGATGTTATCCCTAAAAGTTTTGGACTTAACGGCTTTCATTGAATGTAGTCAAAATGGTTGCGTTAGGAATTTATATTCCTTAATAAATATATATTTAGTGGTTTGGAGCGCTTTGCTGTTAGAGAGCCTGCTCAATGTTAGGAGAGTTACCAGAAGTTGTTTGGAGAGCACTTGTGTTTGAGAGCCTGCTCATGTTTGTTTGGAGCCGTTAGGCCCTGTACTTAGGTTGCGATAATGGAAATATTTATTTTATTGCATTTTTTTTAATTTTATGTTTTATTTTTGATTATTATTAATTGGCATTAATTAATTAAATTGATCAAATTAAAATGCTGAATTCCTAATTAAGGTTTTAATATGAACTCAATTTGATTTAATTTGTTTGAACCTATTTAAAGTGTTATTTTAAGGTTATTTTGAATTAGATTTAATCTATATTATTAATTAAAATTAGATTACTCATTAATTTATTTAAATTGGAAGATGTTTCCTTTAATTAAATGTTATTTTAATTAATTTTGACTTTAATTGAAGTTAACAGTTTCCGATTTTTTTAATCATTATATTGAATTGGCTTCAAGGTTGGATTTTATAATCTCAATGTTGAATTTTTAAGTTAAACTAATTAACAAATTTGTTAATTAAATTTTGTTTACATTAATTAACGTTAGTTTTAATTATCTTTTAGGTTTTCTCTGATTTAAGTCTTTCGTTAATATTTTAATTTAACTAAGTATTATTATAGATTATCTCGTTTCAAGGTAGTTTAGTTTAATTAATTCTCAATTTTAGCATTTTTGTTGGGCTTTTGAGATAGATATTTATTTGAGGTCGCGATTGTTTTAATTATGCTTATTGTATCTTTTTATAGGTTTTTAAGTTAC